TCGTAGGACAGGCGGAAAAGGAAACCGGAAGTATTGCGTTGCTATGCCAACACATTTAGAGCATCGTTGCGCTCTCACACTACTTATATGAAGGAAATTTATTTCTAAATTTGGGAAGTAATTTGAAAAAAAAAATGCTTTTGCTTGTTTTGTTTTGTTCAATGTTGAGGAACTGCAGCGTACGTACAGCAGACATCTATTAGAGAAAAAAAGGAGGAGGATATTAAAAACAAAGTTTATCCGTTTTTACCGAGGCGAATTAAGGTAAGTTGTAAACACCACATCTGCGCTTGTGTGTACGTTACATCTGCCGGCGCCGGCCTTTTTCAAATGAACAACGGTTGTTCACGGCGACGCAAAGAATTGTGGGTTATCTGTAGCAGCGAAGGATACACCTCATGCATCCTCCGAATTCCTGTGAAAGAAGGTCGCATTCGAAGGTCGCATTCGGAGTGTCCTACTTGCTTTTCTGAAATGAGACAGCCTCGATGACGTATGCAGCCTTCGAATGCGACCTCCGGAGGATGCAGCCTTCTAAATGAGACACAGCTATTGACACCTTAAAATAAAGTGTACCCAAATATTCTATTGTATAATAGTTTAATATCAATTTTTAACAGAAAGTGGCAGGTTTTGGCAAGCTTTTAATGCACAGCTTGGAAATGCAAATGCTTTGTGAATTTAAGACAATTTATAACTATATATATTATAAAATTGAAGTAATAATAATTATTTGATCCTAAATTTATTATAATTACTGAAATTATCATTTTATTTTATTAAAATATTAAAACTGTAATATTATGAAACATAATTACAATTTAAAAGAACTTATTTAATTGTAATATGTTTTAATGCAATTTATTCCTGTGATGGAAAATTATGATTTGCTGCTTAATTATTTTTGATTATCATTTTTTAGTATTTTTTTTTTTAGTATGCATATACAGTCAAACCTAAATTTATTCAGACACCTTCAACATTTCTCACATTATCACAGTTTATTTGCTATAGTTTAGAAAATGGTAATGAAATATGACAAGAACACAAAGTTAAGCTGTTTCAGAACAAATACATCTTGATGATGTTAGATAACTTTGATAGAAATGTACTGTATGTTATGGATTACAATCAACCAAAAATTATTCCTCTGCTTCCACAACAGGTTTTGTGTGGATGTCGCCAAACATCACTGGTTCTTGCATGTCTCATAACCAATCTGCAATAAATGGGAAGGTTGTCAGCAATTAACATCTTCAGTGTCTGTCTGTGCATCACAAATAGTTTGGTATGACTTAAGGAATAAAGCGCTCATGAGATGTTTGTACTGCTTGTTTGGACTTAAGGTGCTTGTTTTGTCCCTTTGCCTTATTTTTATGAAAAAAGAGCAACGTGGAATTTTTTTTCATGCAACACAAAAGGAGATTTTTTTAAAGTAAGAAAGTCATGCAGGTTTTGAAAAACAGGAGGGTCAGTAAATGACTTATTAAAATTTTACTGTGAACTTTTCCCTTAATATGTATTGAAATATGTTATTGAGTGCATATTCACAATTAAGAAGATGAGTTGATTTTTGTCAAGAGTGATTACAAATACTTATAAAGATAATAAAGATGAATTAAGTGTGTAAAAGGAGTCATTTATGCCTTACACGGGCAATCTCAGATATACACAGACTCGCACATACAACCTCAAGCCTTTTCTCAGTAGTGTGTGTTGCATGAGCTGCCACGCGCTGTGCTTCTGTATGAATGTGTCTGTCTGGCAGCTGCTGCATGTTTTAGCTAGATGCGTGGCTGTTCTCTGCTCTGGCTGATCATCCCTTACCCAGCGTCCCCTGCTCCTTGATCACATGACCACTTGATCTATCAATCCAGTGAAGTGGACTTAGGCAATGCTCTACTTTCAGTCATGAAAGGTCTCATGACCTCTGTGCCCTTGGCAGTGCTGCTGCCTCTGTGGTCATTGTTGCGTCCCTCTACTAAAGTAATAAGGATTCATATATTATGGATTATGTTTGTGTACGCTGATATCGCATGTGCTCTGATATTGATTAGTAGTCATTTACCCCTTTCACACATACAGACTTTACTGGAAAATTACCAGTAAATTGCCATAAAGAGATAATGTGTGGACGGGACCTTTTCAAAAATATCGTTCCGACAATTTACCGGTATGAGAAGTTGTAACATTACCAGTGAATTGATGGAATGATGATGTGTGTGAATGCAGAATGAAGATTACCGGTGTAGTGCCGAAATTTGCACCCTGCCAGATTATGCACCCCCTAGTATTGGTAGGTTTAGGAGTAGGTGTGGAGGAGGGGTTAGGATTAGGGGTGGGGTTGGGATTAGGCAATCAGGTAGCGACTTCAACGAGGGGGTGCATAATCTGACAGGGGTGCAGAATTCGGCACAACACCGGTATGAGCATGTACGAGTTCAGAATGCGCTGACGTAAGACATCTACTCAGGGCCAATCCAGTGCCATTGAAATTCTAAATTCAGTGGCTCTGGGCCAATCATAACATTTTGACGCATGTAACGCATTTACTCTGCGCTGTGTAGTTCAGTTTAAGGTCGTCTAATATGATGTCTCTGGACCAAAAGCGCTGCATGAATGTGAACGTTTGACACAAAAATGAAAACATGTTTATTTTTACAAACATAACACCAGGAGGCGCAGTCGTTTAGAGGTAATTTCTGGTTAATTATGTCAGAGAATTTACCGGTATGGTGTTTTTCCGGAAAAAAGACGAAATGTCATTGAATGTCGTTGCCTGTGTGAATAGCGCATTTTTGAATTTGCCGTTAAAGTCGTTCCGGTAATTTTACGGCAATTTACTGGTATTACTGTGTGAAAAGGGCTATTGTCTGGGGTTGTAAATGTCAGTGGGGGGATTTTTAAAAAGACATTTGCTTTCTTGAATGAATATTTTTTTTACTCCTATTTTTCATTAATGCATCGTTTAGTGTTTTTTAAAATCTATATATAAAAATGTGAAAAAATAAATTGGTTTTGGTGAGTACGTTAAATAAAAATAGTCTGACCTTTCTGATATACACAAGAAATACAAACCATTTGTCACAAATATTGAGATAATTAAAAAGCTGATATATTTAAATAATTTAATTATGTAAAACAAATTATGTAGTTCAATAATGCAAATGCAATTCTTGGCTTTAAGGCATATTTATTGGCCTGTATATTTTATCTATCATTGGCAGAAGTGGCAAAAGTTATTTTTGAGCTCTGACAGGTGCTGTTTTTCAATGAATTGAGAATTATTTGTTTTTACAAAAGCAATTGAATGCTTAGTTGCAGATGCAGAAATAGAATGCAGAAAGTTAATTGTGACAGTCACCACTGATAAGCTACCACTAAATATTGTAGAAACTTAATTTGCTGTAAAGTTGCTTTGCAATGATTTGTATCGTGAAAAGCGCTGTACAAATAAACTTGAATTGAATTGAATTGGACTTATGCAACGAGTGATTTGAATCACGTTATAGCCAGTGGTAAGGTGAGCATCAGGTCATCATTTATTTTTGTTTTTATTTATTTTTTCACACTTTCTTCTGCTTCTGGTCTGTTTTCTGCTGTGCACTTCTCTCTTAAACCTTACCGTTATTAATCAAACTCCCTCCTGCTGTTGGCTGTTTATCCAGAATAGGATGGAGTTTGTCCTCCATTGGGAAGCATGACTGCACTAGCAGGGGAATGCTCTGCCTACTGTTGTAGATAAGTTCATGAAAGCTGTCAGTCAGGAGAATGGCAAATCACACCACTCTCCTCTTCGTCCTCACCATCATCATCATCTTCCTCATTCCCCTCGACCCTCTCCTAGTTGTGGTAAACAGGCAGGGGAGTTTGATCTTGTGAAAACCCCTTGCTCTAAGAGAGTGTGAGCACCTGTGCGTGCATGTGTGCGAGTGTGTGTATGTGTGTGTGTGAAAGAGAAAAGCTCAGGTACTAGCCTTGTTTGCATTAGTTCACGGTTTGCTCCTTCTCTGAGGACAATTTTAATATTTGTCACTGTTAAAAAATATATATACAGCTAAATTAATAAAACTGATGTTCTAATGATGTTGTAAGGCCTGTTTCGCAACACACACTCAAGCTACTACTCAATTACGTTACGTTTTCTGATGCTTAACCAAACTCTCTAGAAAATAAAACGATTTTAAAGTTCTGACTGTAAGTGTTTTTATCGTTCATCTGGAAAAAAATCTCTTTGAAAATGATTTCTACGATAATTGATATAAAGCCAAGTTTTCCAAACTGGGGTTCATGAGAGAACTACAGGGGGTTTGTGAATTGATGAAAAGCTAATAATTAAATCATAAAAATGAAAAATTATGATAAATAAACAATATTAAAATAGAAACCTTGCTAAAAATATTTACTATTTTGTTTACCTATGTCATGTGACCATTAACTGACATCAGAGAACACGTGTTGTTCAGTTATTGAAATATTAATTTCAATTTTTTGTTCAAAGATGTTCAGCTGACAAAGATACGCTTTGGGAATATAGACAGTAATAATAACCAAATAAATACATTTTAGACAAAAATGTATTGTGAGTTGTGCCAGATTTATATTGATGAATTAATAATTTTTAATTAACACTGCAGTATTGTCAATTTGGATTTCATGGTGGCATTAAAAGCTAAAAGGTTTGGAACGAAACGAGTGTAAGTAAATCATAACTTAAATTTCATTTTGGGTGAACTTTTCCTTTTATCTCAATACTAAACAATACTAATTAAATTGGTGTGTGTGTGTCTGTGTGTGTTTGCTGAGGGTGTTTTTTTTTGTTACGGCTACTAACCAAATTAAGTCCTGAGGGCTAAAAACATTAGTCTCTGCATAAAAATAATACCACCTTGACATTATTGTGAGTTGTGCCAGATTCGGGAGCATCAATAAACCAGCTAACAGGGCTAGTATGCTGCTAAAGCGAGAGGGGGTATTTATGTGCCAGTGGTGTGTGTGATGATGTAAATATGTTTGTTTCAGATGAGCCGGAGACACGGGATGCGTGGTGGGAGGAGATCCGTCAGGAAATAAAGTCTCATGCCAAAGCACTCGGCTGCCACGCTGTGGTGGGGTACAGCGAGTCCACCAGCATCTGGTACTTAAACACACACACACACACACACACACACAATACTAAACTCTGAGGATGTTTTTCAAGACGGTTGAGGGAGTCAATTAAAATGATATGCGTCTAGATTTTTAGTTGCACAGCTTTCTCATTCTGTCATTCAGCTTTAATGAAAGTCTCTGATTATGCGCTCTTTGTGTTTGCAGTGAGGAGGTGTGTATTCTATCAGCATCAGGCACTGCGGCGATCCTCAGCTCCCGGTTCATGCAGGACGGCCCGCTGGACACCGAACACAGGTTGTCACGGCAACCGCTTTGTGTCTTTTCTACAGGGTCAGAGAGGGTCGAGGGGGATATGGGTAGTTCAGCATCGCTAGGGTAGGTTAATGACACACACGACACATACACACACACACACCTTTGGCCCCATGCTAAGGGACTCTTAAAAGAATAGTTCACCCAAAAATAAAAAATGTGATTAACTCTCCCCTCATGTTGTATCAAACTTCAAAAAAGGTGAACCATAAGTACATTATCTATAATCTATAATAATAATTCAACTTGTTTGCTATATCCACAGTCTTCTAACGTTATACAGCAACTTTAAAGATAGCATGAAATGACAGTTCACCCTGTCTATTTTAATGAATCATGCCATATATTTGAGTGAAATGGCTTCTCGAACAAGTAGAAAAATATAAAAAATATATGTTTGTTTGCTGCAATTTTATGTGAAGGGATGTTGTTGCGAGGGAAGGGAAAGTTAATATTTTTGATTAAAGATTACAAGAGCACATCAATTAAAAAAATGATATTGATGAATTAATAATTTTTAATTAACACTGCAGTATTGTCAATTTGGATTTCATGGTGGCATTAAAAGCTAAAACGTTTGGAACGAAACGAGTGTAAGTAAATCATAACTTAAATTTCATTTTGGGTGAACTTTTCCTTTTATCTCAATACTAAACTATACTAATTAAATTGGTGTGTGTGTGTCTGTGTGTGTTTGCTGAGGGTGTTTTTTTTTTTGTTACGGCTACTAACCAAATTAAGTCCTGAGGGCTAAAAACATTAGTCTCTGCATAAAAATAATACATGCAGTAACATGAGGAATGCTGTAAAAAATAATGTCATAAATAGATTTTCTTTATCAGTTAATTTCTATTAACTAAATGAATTCAACATTTGGTGTGAGCATCCTTTGCGTTGAAAGCAGTTTGTGCCCTCGGTGCACTTGTGCATAGTTTTTCAGTAGCTTTGCAGGTAGGTTTCTTGAAGCATCTTGGAGACGTTGCCACAGTTCTTCTGGATTTATTCGGTCTCAGTTTGTTCTGTTTCTTCATGTTATTCCAGACAGACTGGATGATGATGAGATTAGATCTGGCTGTTGTCAGACTCCTTGTGCAAACAATAATCTCACCGGATTATTACAATTAATGGCAAAATGAATGTTTGGAAATGTAAACTGATATTTCCTACTAACACACTACAGCAAAAGATAGACATAACTGACTTAAAACCATTTTTAGCTGCTGAAAATACTAGTGTTCTAAATATTTTGGCTACCACTGTACATTTTTTTCTGTCACATATAAACTGCTAATATAATAGTAATAATAATAATAGTTTTAAACAATAATATACGTGTGTGTATATGGGTTGTTCATTTTTTATTAATTTTTTTGCTGGGGCCACTAAAATCTTAGGAAAAATTATCATAAAAATGAGTGAGTTCTGATATCTACATTGCACACTGGCTTTTCACAATATTAAGGAATATCCTGTTTTCCTTGGTGTGTCCCTTTAACACAGCATTGGTTTCCTTTGTGTGTGTGTGTGTGTGTGTGTGTGTGTGTGTGTGTGTGTGTGTGTGTGTGTGTGTGTGTGTGTGCTGTGTCTCTCAGGGGGTGGCAGCCATCCGCCGGC